GGTCGCAAGAATGACCACTCTTCATAATAAGGGTTATAGTATTTTTGGGTCTATATTGGGGTCCCCCTATTTAGGGAAACTACCATATATAGGGATAATGGAACATACAGATGATAGTTTTATTGGGGCTATATATAGGGGATCCGAGGGATAATGGGAAAGAAAATGGAAACTACTATAATGGGGTTTAGGGTTTACGTTTGGGGTACTTTGGGTTTATTTGTAACTGCGGGTACCTTCAGTCCTACCGATTATTTCTCCTAAAGCGCAGGTAATGGGATTACACGCAGTACAATACAGTGCCGGCGGGGAAATATTGCCGGTTGTGAAATCCAGCACGATCAAGTTCTGTCTATGTAGTACTTTACCTGCACGCAAAATGCATATCGTGAATCAGTCAAGTTCTCATGCTTGCCAACCTCTTATTCAGCCCTTATTAATTCTACAAGCCATGGAGGGAATCCAAATCTGCTGTTCCAAGTATCGGCAGCGAGTTTGGGTCCATAATATTGGGGTCTTTAATTTTGAGGTCCTTGTATACCTGAAACATAGCAATGGGCCCATGGCAGAGGACAGGATCATGGCCTTTCCTACAGCGCGATGGATTTAACCTATAGTCCCCCTTAAGTAGATAGAATAGGGCTGTGGGTATATTATAATAAGGGCCCCATATACCCCATATTCTATCTACTTAAGGGGGACTATAACCCCAACATATACCCTATTAGAATATAGCAGTTTCCATTTTCTTTTCCATTCTCCCTATATACCCCCAATAATTACAACAAAATACTGGCCTGGCCTTCCGGAGGCTAGCAACTTCTTCCTCGCCGAGGAGTTCAATCCTTGGCTAATAGAGGTACCCGAAACTCGGGGAGATAGGGGGGGTTCCTAAAATTAGGGGTACCATATTGAGGGTCACCATAATAAGGATTATAATAGATTGGGGTCTATATTGGGGTCCCCTTATCTAGGGAAACTACCATAGTGGATTGCATGTTATCAAGCGGTGGTTCGAAAATTAGGGCTCAATCTGCGGAAGGCCCAATAACGAGGATTAGAGTATGTTGGCATCTTCCTGGGGTCCACTGCTTATGGAAACCACCAAAAAAGTAGCCAGCATCGGCACAGCCATCTCTAGTGACACAATGCTAGCCATGCTGCTATCCATCATTCACGCTGACTACTTGACTAATCTTAACGACCCGTTTTGTTTATGAAGCAAGGTAACCGCAACTACAAACATATGATGCGCTACTCCTGCACATCCGCACCTACAGCTGCCCCAGAAAAGGCTTTGCCTTGTGCCCAGGGGCTCAGGATGAGGCGTGTAGAAGGCAAACTCAACCTCCTCATATTCGATCTCCTCGAAGCATGCAGCACCCAAAACCCTGAAAGGATGCCCTCAGATGAAAGACGGTATAAGTGCACATGGCTTTTCTGCATAAGGAATCTAAGTCATGAAGTCCTTGGTGAGGGGTGTCTAGGCATTTGTCTTTGCAGGGAATCCTTGAGTCCCAGATCCACATCCAGAAGATTGCGAGCACGAAGGACGAGCGAAAACCGGCAATGCTTTGCGTCTGCGACGTGACTGACATGCCATGCTGGCACCAGCAACTCTTCCGCACATGCGGCACCAAAGCCGCCTCATAATTTGAAACTGTCTCCTTCCTGTCATGTTGCCGCTATCGCTCAGACAAAACAACATGTCTGCAGAATTTGAATGCAGCAGGAGGAGGGAAGACTAACGCAACCAGTCTGCATAATGCACGACCCACCAGATTCACGCGGTGATAGTGAACACTCCAGATTGCC